GTGTGTGAGGCAAAGGGCTGTGATTACCAATTCATTTCATAAAGGGCAACCTTTTAAAATTCTCTCAAACTAGCAGCTGCTGGAGGACTGAAAAAGCACCTGGGTCTGGACAAATACCTTTTTCTTCTTCTGGGTTAATTTAAAAAGAAAACCAACAATTCTTTCCTCTGACAAACGAGACTTTCAGTCAGCGTTGAGCTATCACTGCAGGAGGATAGCCTGTCCTTGCTTACTTGACATATGAGATTCTTCCAGTTGCAGAGGTGGAAGTCATGGTTAGGCTGAAGAGCGCTTGAAAAAATAAGCTGCTTCACATTACTAGTCAGTAAGAGGGAATCATTTGGATTTGATGTGAAGAAAAGAATAGGCAATCCACCTGCTTCAGTTTCTTGTGCTGCTGCTGGGTTCTTATTGCTGTTGCTTATAACCACTGACAGAGACAAGAAATACTTTTCCTTCTTTCCTCTCTCTCTTCTGTTTCACTCACTCCTCTATCTGTTGGTTTCTTTTCTCTAAAATACTGAATTGTAACATAGGAAGGACCACCAGTGACTTCTGAAATCTGACAGGTCTTAGCTTTCCTCCAGCTGAGTTTACACATGCCTTACTGCGGCAGACAGACCTTAATTCAGTTGGCAGTAGGATTACAGAAGGTATATTTACACTCAAGAACACTCATTTTCCGTATCTAATTATCTCCTCATCTGCTGAGTCAGGAGGAAAATCAAAATTATCCTTTGGTTTAGATTATGTTTTCCGAGGACTGACATGAGAATTCTGGGTGACATTCTCAAAAGCATCCAATTTATATAGGATCAAAAGACTGTGGCTTTCAGGGGATCATCTGCTCCTCAGATGTATTAGGGACATTAGAAAACAGTACCTTTGGTTTCTAATGTTGGACATGGAGGTATATATAGAAGATTATTGCCTTTATTGTCATCAGTATAGGATAAAATCATAATTTATGTTTTCAGATGAAGCTTCAAAAGTGATGATCTTTTTTGTTCTACCTGGAAACCAAGTTTCCCATGGGGCATGTTCCAAAGGACTATGAGTTTGCACTAATAATTACATTATTACATCTTTTTTTTTCATTTATCCCTCTGCATTATATTTTTATGGAAGCCACAATCCACTCTGGAGGAAGAAGAAGGTTGGTGGTTTTTTTTTGTTAAAAAGTCGTTTGATTTATGCTGGGGGCAGCTGAGGTTTTTTTTTTCCTCTGTTCTGCAACATTCCTGCATGATCTGCAAATTACTGCTCCCTCTTTGAAAATCAGGTATCAGCAAGATGGTTTTCTGTGTCCTTCATTCATCTATTCTACTTAGCCTTCATGCAGGTTCAGACAGAGGCCTTCGCTCATCCCAGAAGTATGTATGCTTCCAATATCCATGCCTTAATGATCTAGAAGTATTATGCTATCCTGCTCAGTAGCCAAGGCTGATGTGGTACAATTGTACCTTGAGACATGCACCGCAGGTCCTTTTCTCATCCAGTTCTGTTCCCTTATCCCTATTTGAGAAAAGCAGAATTTCCTCAATACAACGACATTTGTGAACAGCCATGACAGCAAACTGTCTTCTCATCTCTGACTGCATGAAGCAATACCTGCAGTTTGGCCCAGCATCTAACCCAAAACCTCCTGAATCTCACCAAAATACAAATGCTAAGATAACAATACAGATGGAGTAAGACATGTTAAGATAACAATGCAGATGGAAACATTTCAGCTACTATATGGTTTGTAGAGTAGTTTGGGATCCTTTGGGTTGATAAATGCTGTGTAAGTTTAAAGTGCTATTTTGTCTCATGCTCACGTAAACTTATATTCCTTGGCTTTGCATTTTGCTGTGCAGATTAAGTTACAGCAGAACTGTCTGGAACACCCATTGAGGCTAAACAGTGGTGTGTCTTCCGCTTCCTTGTTTAATATCAGATGCTTTGTTATGGGAATTCGAATAAAACTTGACCTAAACAAGGCAGCCTGCCTGCTATTTTTAGAACATTATGCCATATCCCATGTCCATGTTTCACAGGCCAGTGTGTAATTAATCATGTGTGTCCTTCCTTCCCTTGTTAATTGATGCACAAGCTTTTGGGAGGTATGTATCATTATCTAATGTAATCATGCAGAAATGTGAAAAGTGGAAGAGGGAAGACCAGAAAAAAATCTGCATGCCTTGATGTCTTATCACAGTTGAAGCAGTGGGGGGAGGGCGGGTTGCCCTGGTGAGTTCAGAACTGGACTGCCTCACAGTACTGCCAGGAGCCACAAGCTTTGAACAGTTTCTGGCTCCACATGCCTCCCTGATCCTGTTTAGAGAAGTTGGTTTAGATGTGTCTGTTTCTTCTGTTGCCCCTTGCCCTGGCACCTGGCAAGAGGGCAGAGGAACCTCTCCCTCCATTTTCTGCTCAGTGATCTCCATCGTTTGCTTTCAGGTTAGAGGCAGGTGTGTGGGAGATGGTAGGTTCCTTTAATCCCTATTAAGAACAGCAGATCACAGTGGCTCTTCTGGCCTTGTTCCCTATGACTATGAAACGAGCTTCAGCTGCACAGAGACTTAATCTTTCTAGTGGAAATGCAGTGCCGGTCAAAGGTCTGCGTTGCATCTTTTAGGACGGTTTCTTATCTGTGTGAAGTTAATCATGAGGCAGCGTCCATTCCAAGTCACAGATTTTTGGTGTAAGGCTTGTGCTACAGACTTGACTTTCTGCAGCTCTGCTCTCTTCCCTGGGAGAGACCCCAAAGAGGAAAGCTATAAATTCTGCCAGAGGTACAGAGTGGACCTCTCGCAGGCTCCTTTCTTAGCCTGAGCCTCTTCCCACCAATTATCTGGAGACCTGGGGGAGAAAATGAGCAACACTGAGGTGCACTATGATGTGTGCAGGGATGATGAGCAGCCCTATGTCTGTTACCTTTAAAGTCTACCTGGTGCAGGCTTCTGACTGCTTCAGGTTCTCTCTCAAAGTGTAGACTGGAATGAGCCAAGGTGTCTGTGCAATTTAGCGTTCTGGCTGTACCCTGCCAGTGCATGCAGCAGATAGGATGGGCTGATAGGAGGCAGCCAGTCACTCCTCCAGCTGTTGCTCTCCAGTTTTTTTTTCCTCCATCTTCAGTTAATTTAGATCATACCTAAAGTGCGTCCACAACTACATTTAAGCAAAAGCAGTTACCATAGTAACACTGGAGATTTTCTAAATGCAGTCTATGATGTAAACAACTAAAATGACTGTCACCCCAGATAGTTGTTTATTTCTTCTCTGTAGTTTACTGAGTATTTAAATCTGTTGTAGCACACACAGATTTACCACTTCTGAGTGTAACTTGGAGGAGTAACACATTTTTTCTTATTGCTTCCATTTCAGCAGATCTGTTTCCATGTCAACAGCTCACATTGATAAGGAATTGGCATTCTGACTGCATTTGGCAGTGTAGGGTACAAGGTGACAATTAAATCAGTGTTTCTAATGATGCTGATATGAAAACCATGCCAAAATACTGGGATTCCCATGCACAGTAGCCAGAGATTGCTTTTTGAATCTGCAGAGAGCGAGGCAGGAATTCTCATGGGAACAGACTTTCTTTTGCAAGGTTTTCAAGCCTTCCTGCTTACAGATGCAGAAAGACTGGGAAAGCAAACTCTCTCTCTCCGAAAAATGCACCTAGCACTCTGTGTGTGTGTGCACATGTGTGTTTGCTTTGGCTGATCCATTTCTAATATAGGTGAGGTCTAGAAATGCATAAAGCATGCGGTAAAAAATAGAACGAAATTCTTGTGCTAAAAACTTGGTTTATGTCAAGTTTCTGGCAAAAACTGTGAAGCAGTAGGGGTTAATTACACACACCCTCCCAGTTTCCTTGTAGAGAATATATGTATTGATACTACTGAAGGACAAGAAACATGGAGGCCCAGGGCATTTCTTTAAGCTCGCAAGCCTGTTCGGCAAAGACCAGCACTTTAGGTTGCGTGTTTGGGGAATGGAAGTGGACTGCTTTTCTCTCTCTGTGTGAGCAGCATGTAGATACGCAGTTGCCACAGTTGAGGTGTCTGTGCTGTGCTTGTTCTCTCTCAGTCCTAGACGTGCTAAGATGGGTGGCCCAGTGTGTTAAGCATCCTCTACACAAGATGGGAGAGACAGACACAATCCACAAGAATTCACAGACTAAGCAGATAACAAACAGGAAAAGGAGAAAAAACATTACCATTACCCCCATTTTACCAGGGCAGAGAGAGATTAAAAGGTTTTCAAAGCTGCAGATAGGCGTGGCAGCTGCTTCCAGGTGATGCGGACTCACAACCTGTGGCTTGGATGCCAGAAAATCCCTTATCTAGTTTTGGCTTGGGGCCATACTGGAGTCTCATGTCAGATTTGGAAACCCAGCTCAGCGCTCCTGAATTGAAATGGGCTCACTTTCAGGGGTGAGCAAAGTTTGGGAATACATTTCCATGGAGGCATTCAGCTTGTCTGAAAATACTGTCTATTTTGGGGTAGGTTTGAATCTCTAATTTCTGTTGCCTCTGGGGACTCCACATACCTCATTAGGTATGTAAATGATGTGTCTAGTGATCTTAGTTGCTGTGGGTTCTCTTGGTAGCCAATGGACCAATAGTTATGTCCAGGCAACAGTTCAGGTCATCTTCAGTAGGTGTCTAGCACTGGTACTGCTTTGTAAATATATAAATTCACTTGTTATGTCTTTCATATCATGGGATCATACAATTTTTATTGGTTTGACAATTCTGCAAACTTACATTGCCTAGAGAGGCTATTATTTTTAAATTAAATTCTTTGATATTGTTTTAGAGAAAAGAATATAAAAGCAGAAATACTGGTAAGAGTATTGTGATTCCTGGTACAACTGAGATATACCAAAATGTGGTGAATTTTTGCTCTCATACACACATACAAGAGCGAAGACCCAAAACCATCATTTGTGTAATGGAGACGAATATAGTAAATTCTCCACATGTACTAACGATAATTTTTTTTTCCAGATTGCATTCTTTGGAGGATCTCTGAGCACTTCAGAAGGACCAATGAATTATGCCTCACAGGACCCCATAAGGTGGTAAGTATTACTACTGTATTTTGTAAATGTGAAAGAATTGTGGAATATTGCTAAGCAGAGGAATTGCCAAGTCAGTCAAGTCTGTGGCAAACAACCTTTCCCTGTAGGAAAATGCCATCCTTTCAGCTACAAGACAGGTACAGTGTTTAGACATTTCAGCAGATGAGCTATTGCTGAATGACTTTAATTTGATTGTGCAGGTGTGGGACACTTAGGATGTATCCGGTGAATGTCGCTGAAGTTCTGTAACATAAAAAAATAGATTGCAACTGAAGAAGGGATGTGTAATCTCTGTTATTTGGTCTTGAATATTGGCTGTAGCTGACAGTAGAACAGCAGCTGATTAGATAGGTCTGCACAGTAACAAGGGCTAGGAAGATCTGTCTCTCTCTTTTGAACTGATGTGGGCCTTCCTTACCATATTGCCTCGTCTCCTAGCTGCAAGCATTGGCAATTTTCAAGGAGGTGTGCACAATATTGTTTGGGCCTCACCTCCATCCCCCCAAATTAGAGGTATGAAAGTAGCAGGGGCTGTAAGTGCCTCTTCTCAGAGGTTGGGCTGAGTGAGGGGTCCTGCAAAGGAGGTAACTTCCAGCACCTGTAGGATTTGGCTTTGGAGAGAGCCAGGATCAGGCAGGCGTCCTTCCTGGTGGCACAGTTTCCAGTACGTGGCTATTCCTGAGCTCTGGTGTCTCCCATCAGAAGTCTTCTACCACATGCTTATGGCTGTCAGCTCTCAAGCTAAGTTTCAGTACCTGTATCTATCGTTCTGTGGAGATATGACTAGCCATATGGTAGTGCTGCTTCTACTCCCATTTTATTAGCTAAATTTAATTAACAGGCAATTATATTAGCCAGATAGACAAATATAATAACCTACTGTCATGCTTCATTGTAAATAATGGCTGAAGTAGCCACAGCAATATTATTTGACTTAGTATGAATATGTTTGACATATGCCATTGAGAATGAGTTGAACATGATGCCGAAGACAAGCTGTGTATTAACATGGGGTCCCTGTTGTTCAAAAGCTCTGGAAACCTGGCCATAATCAGTAACAGTAAAGTTCTGAAGAATGAAAGGATGGTCATAACCATTTATATACGAGTTAATGCAAAACAGAAGAAATGCATAAACAAATGCAGGCAGGATTTGAAGAAAAGCTGTAACTTAGTCCCAGAAATTCTGTACTAAAGGCCTAGACTTTAACAGGAGTAAATGAGACCCATTTCTAAGACACAGTTGAGAAATCTGTGTGTGAAACAGAAAGAATATGTAAGTGAAAGATGTCAAATGGTGTTTGGCTGTAATGGATGCAGCATGAATGCAGTGAAAATGTTAACCTAATTCTGTTGCAAATCTGAAACAAAACTTTGCTCTTGCCACCTAACATTTCTTTTAAGCTTTGCTGAGGTGCAGTTGTGGAACCACGAAATGAAAGAAAACTATAATTCTAATAGTTGAACATGTCCTTTTGTCACCAGTGTTGTACAACACCAGATACTGGAGGAGGAAAGAAATCAACTGTTTTACAGCCCTTCATGTTAAAAAAAGAAAAAGGTGGGTAATAATAAAAATGTGGGTTTTCTAATAAATCAGCTATATTAAGCTGTAGGCTTCTGCCCTTTTAAAGTAAAAGGAAGCAAGAGATTGTCAGTGGCAAAAATACTACCTTGTGGGATTTTAATAGAATTGTAAGCCCCATTGCCCTTCCTTTAGGATGATGTGGTGAAAATGCAAGGTGTTACTCACAATTCTGCTTGGTTTCATTCAGTATCTTGAGTTGCCTTTTGTCATCAGCAGGGTGCAATTCCTATGGAGTGAAACAATGCATACAGCATGGACTAAAGTGCCTCAAAACAGCTGTGTCCTGCCTTAGGCAGTACCTCAGTGGTTAACAGGACTAATGAATGTCCACACTAACAACAGTGAACACAGCCAGCTTAGGTAGGGATCAAGACCAAAGGTTATTTTTAGATAAGAGAAAGGAGAAGGTGAAAATATACAGGTGTGCAGACATACAGTGTTACAAGCAGATTTAGGGCCTTGGCACAAAGCCCTTTGCTGTTACTTTGCAAGGAAGGTTGCAACCTGAAACATACCTAACTACAATACTGCTTCAAGCTTCCTTAAACTTTACAGAGGCTCTGTTCTACTGGGGAAGACTGGTCAGAGCAGAAGGGAAGGGTAGTAACTAAGGCTTACTAAAAAACTATTGGGGCTTTCTGCTTAGGCATACATTGCTGAGCAGTCACTTTGCTCCCTTTGGATGCTGCAGTGATTCAGTGATAATAGATTTTTGGCTAAAACCAGAGTGAAAGTGATACCGCTATCTACTTCTGCTGTCCTGGATGTGACAGGTACAGGCCAGTTTTTTTTTCTAGTCCACATCTGAGGAGCAACAGAGCAAGTAATTGCCTCGCTGGTTGCTCCATTCACTCTCCTCTACCTGTAAGACGAAGAGCTCTTGATGCCACAGGAGGAGCAGCAGTGAGTTTCTGGTGACAAGGTAATGAGGTACCAGTGACTGTCAAATGCATACTGCAGTGAAAGGGGGTTCTGAGGGTGTTAGAAATCTCTCACCTTGGTTCTGAGTCTGGATGTTGAAATGCTGAGCCAGCATCCCAATGCACTTTATTATTCTGGAAGAAAGTTACTCCCTTTACTCCTCAGGTTCCTGGAAGGATAGCTGGGGTCAGAGACTGGTCTATAATTGCAGCTGTCAGCTCATTGTTAAATGAAGAGATGTAAAATGCCTCCTTGCACATCATTTATTAACATTTAAAACCTACCAGGGGACTTATAAAACATTCCACTTCCTGTAACATTTATAAACTACTAAGGAGCACAGACACATTCCCCTATATTAATTACCCTAATTTAGGAATGTCCATAGAGGACCCATGAGCACAGAAGCTATGATTCTCCCCTCCCCCTCCACACAATTCTTTTATTTCTAGGCATTGAGGTTCCCCTGAGCCCATTCCAGCTGCAAATTCTCCTGGCATGAAGCAGGGTAGAGCTAGAAAGTGAATATATTTTCAGACCTTGTATACATGAGGGAGTTGCACTAAGATTACTGGTAAACCTGCTTAGTTAAACCAATGCAAGATGTGACATGGACAGTCTTATTTCATCTGGTCACTTCTTTTAGATTTGGATTAGGTTTGAAATCAAGTAAACCCCCATTTAACATCTTTAAATAAAGATGTATGAAGGCATTCACATCAGTTTAACTTGAATTGTTTCAGTCAGATTTAAATGAAACCACTGAAACTTTCTTGTACTGAGATGACCTCAGTAAATACAAATTTCTGTCTCTCTTCTATGGGCCTGAGGGGGTTGCAGCTCTTCTGGCTTTTCACAAGGCATAATTTTCATCACTTATGGTAGGAGCCAGTGGGAATTATAAGCTCTGCTGGATCAGGGTAAATCAAATGCAGGGCATTTAGTGGTCAGGGAAGGAACATGAAAGAAGGCAGTGTTACTTGTCTTGCTGAAAATGATCACAGCAGCTCCTCTGAACCTCTTCAGGCTTAGTGCTGTGAATGCGTTGGGCCTGCCATAGATCTTCAGTGCCTTCCTGTTGCTGTCAGGGTATCCAGTGGGCCTAGCACATATGAGTGAGTCTAGGTGATGCATCTGACTGAGGAAGGGTCAGCCTGCAGTATCGTTAGATGACAGATTCCCTTTAGAGCATTCATTCCTCTCCACTGGGCTTTGGTATTGGCACCTATGAGCAAGAGCAAGAAAATGGTCAGGTACCTATTCCTTGAAATAACCCTTGGGTTATTTCAGACAGTTGATAAAAAGAGAGAAATGTGACTACCTTCAGTTCATTAAATGTTTGTGGTGGACATGTTTTCCTTCAGTAGTGTGATGTTTGGAGAATAAAATAAGTATGTTATATTGGATGTTACCTTGGGTTTCCCCCATGAAATAATTTGAAGAATGTTCCCCCGCTGCATGTGCTGAGCTGTGAAAATTGTTGCTGAAAGCACATAATGTTGTGTATACTTAATTTTAAATGAGTCTGCCATGGAGAAGTCTGTATGTGTTAGAGAATTCCCATAGTTTTGAATGGTAAGATCTGTGGTTTTCTTCATCAGAGATGAAGCCATATAAACACTGCTTATCACTTTCTTGCTATGCACTTGCTGGGTCACCTGTGAATGCTTTAGTGAGTATCCCAAATCAAGCACTAAGAAATGTTTAGAATAGTAGGGCTTTTGTGCAGAGGGAAGTTGATTATGTCCAGTGTCTGCAAGGGGATCCTTCTGCAGAGGTAGTCTTCCCATTAGCTGTGCCACTAAGCCACATATCATAGGAGGGCTGAAATTTGTTTTTATCAATTCAGGAACAAGATCCAACATCTGTTCCTAATTACAGGTAGGGGTCTCAGAGGAGGTCTGAGTTACAGTATATGTGGATATCAAAATGCACAGCTCTCATTACTTGAATAGGTAAATAATTTTATTCATCATCCGTGCAGGGACATAAGAACTGTAGCCCAGGAGATGTTAACAATTAACCACAATCTCATTCGCATTACTGGCTATCAATATCTTCAGCTCTTTTACACAGTAGTTTAATACTGACTGTGTAAACCTTCTGCAAAGGGGTTAATTTTTTTTTTTTTTTGGTGTGAATTGGGCATTTACAAATGAATTTCTGTTTTTATCAGATTGATTTTACATGATACTTTTCTACAAAGGATGTCTTGTTATGTTTTTTTGCTTTCTTTTGGCTAATGAGGGACCAAGTGTCTTCTGTAAAATCTGGGTTACCACAGCTTATGACTGGCTTCCATTCAGGTCGAGGTGCTAACCACCATGCAGCACTGAGTCTGAAATAGATAATTTCCCTGCACCCAAAATTTTAGTTTTGGCAGAGTTGGGTGGTGGTGTTTATCCTTTTGGGGGCAGCTGTCTCTGTACCATATGGTATATGATTTTACAGTCCAGTAAATGCAAGGATTTGCTCTTGTTTTTTTCAAGACT